ATGTAGAGGGAGATGCCTGGATGCAGTGTTCTCTCCTAGTCCTGCTTGACTTGATATTTTTATTATACCCTTGTATAAAAATACAATAGACAAGTTTATCTTATCTGTGGATGACACCCTATTGAGATAACTGGAAACAGAACGGATGATAGAATCAGGATACAAAAGCTGATTTAGCAGCAGATTCTACCAGTAGACGATCCTAAGGAAATGACAGCGCAGACTCGGTTTTTGTCCAGAAAAAAAGAGGGGCTTAAGGTTAAAAAAGGAGTGAATGGTAGATATGGAAAACAATATGTATAAAAGATTCAAAACTGAATTTATAGTCCACTCACTATCTGTCAATAATGTGCATAGCTGCCAGAAAAATCACAGAAGGTTTGCTGTTGCATGTGTAGCATTAAGTTTCCTGAAACAAAAAAGTATCGGACGTAATTGAAGTCTCCATTCTGTTCCGGTCAGCTCACACTTTAAATATTAGATTGATTTTAGAAGGCACAAGTCAATGTATGAGAAGATTAAGAATGATTGAGAAAAATAAAAACCTAAATAGCAGGGATAATTGGCATCACATTAAGATAAGAACCTGATATATGTCTTGAAATATTTCAATATCTATCATTTTTAAATGTGTCACAAATAGTAACAAGATGTAAATAATAATCTAGGACTATACTTTGCTAAGGATGTCAGTGGAAGTCACCAGATATTGGGAAAATATTCTGTCAACAAAAACACAGTGTTGGATATATGCTTTTATCTTAAAAATAAATGTATAAGTACTTCTTCTGTTCCAATCATCCTGTTAAACTCAGAAGACATGAGGACAAAGAAAGTAGATATAGTTGCCACTATCACATAGGTTACTTTTGAGCTAGTTGGAGAGATAAAACCTAAATAAATAATTGGATGTTGTGATGACCACAATGAAAAACTACAACATTTAAAATTTTTTTTTAATTTATTTTTGTGGAACCAGGGATTGAACTCAGGTCCTTGGGTTTGCCAGGGAAGCACTTATTCCACTGAGCCATCTTCCCAGCCACAATGAAAAACTACAAAGAATTTATAACACTACAGAGAGTCAATAGAGTTTACAAAATGAAGAGTGTTCAATATGAAATGTGAAGAAAAGTACCATTCAGGGACTCATCTTTAAAGGCAGGGCTTACAAATGATTAGGAATTGGTCAGATGAAGAATGACAAAAAGAAAGCAATAGGAGAGAACATTCTAGGAGAAAGAAAGCATACTTCTTTCTTTTTTTCTTGAATCCAGAAAGAGCTTAGTGCATTAAGAAGCTGATAAAATGCCAGTGTACAATTTGCTCACATTTATAAACATTTACCACACTTATCAGAATACCCCAGGAGGTCCTCTGTTGCTTGGGTGGATGGGTGGATGGATGGAGGAAGAGTAGGTGGGTAGGTGCTGACAACACAACAGCTTCGTCTCAGCTATCTTTTACTCTAGGGAATCAGACAAGAGACCACAGATGGGAACAGCAGTCAGTGAGCTTTGGAAACCCTCATCTGGACCAGAAACCTTACTTAAGGGCAGCAGGGAGCCATCAGAAGCTTGGCTCAAGCAATCGCTTCTGTGTTTTAAAAGCTTAACCCTGGCTGTAATATTGAAAACTGACGGGAAGAGAGGGGAGGAAGGCTGGCAGAGAGAAGTGTGACTGGAATGTGGTGGTGACACTAGTGATGAGAGCAAAGGGTGGATGGGAGAAGATCCTAAGGGGGTGGAATCCACAAGACCCGGTGGTCAAGTGTGAGAGGGGGAGAAGGCATTAGAGAGCCCTGGACTCTCCTTGAGGTGACCTTTCCTACGAGTTCAGCCCAACCAGTACACAATTTTAGAGGGTGATGAAGAACTCTGTTATTCGTCTTTCCATCAACATAACCAAATATTGGCCATAACTCACTTATAAAGAAAAAAAATCACTTCTTTTGGAGCATCATTTTAATTTATTTGTTTATTTGAATTTTAGGGAAGGGTCTACAGGGTGGTCAGGGTCTCAGTATAAGATCAGACTCCTAGTGATCCGTCTGTTTACAGCTTCCCAAGAGCTGGGATTACAGGCGCATGCCACCACGCCCAGTCTTAATTGCCATCTCGGCATTCTCTGAGGGTGGGCCAGCACTACAGGCCTGGTAATTGAACTCCCAGCCCCTGAGCCTGCTTGCAGGCGCTTTAATCTGCTGAGTTATTTGGCTGGCCCCCAAAATCTTTGGAATTTTTTTTTTTTGAGGGGTGTGCTGAGACCTTGCAGGACCTCGCAGTTGCCAGGCAGGCACTGTGCCACTACATGACATCCCCAGCCCTGGAGCACCATTTTAGAGGTGACAGTCTATGGTTTGTTGCATTTGTGGTGAAACTGCACATCATGGTGGGAGTCCATGAGCGAAGGCAACTGCTCATGTCATGGGCAGAGGGAAAGAGAGCGAAGAGGGCCTGGGTGCACTGTCTGCTTCAAGGATACCACCCACAACGCCTCATCTCTCCCACCTTCTCCCAGTAGTATCAAGCCTTTGATACATGCATGGGCCCTTGGGGGACACTCATCTAAGTCATAGCAGAACTAATTCACCAAATCAGATGTTCTGTTTGACCAAGGGGAGAAAGGGTGGGGAGAAAAGAAATATACAAAAATGGAAGCATATGAATAAGTAGGAACAGGAGCAGAGAGAAAATTGGCCAGAGAAAAAGAAAGAAAAGCAGAAGAGAGTCACAAGTGTGACATCAGTTCGGTGAGCTCAAATGATACTCGCTTTTGAGCAGAGAACCATGCGCTCAGATTCCCTAACTACAGTTCAGTTATTCAACAAGTACATACTGAGCCCCTACTATGTACCAGAGATTATTCTAGATGGTAAGATATCGATATGAACAAAATTCCATGTAATCTAAAAAGAGGAAAACTTTCATGAGTTTAGGAAACATGACAGTTGTCTATAGATTAAGGTGAAATGGTAGAAATGTGATGTAGGATCTCTCCTGACCTCCTGTAGCTTCTCACAACCAGAGAGAAGGAAGGAAACTGCCCAGCTTGTTTTGTGTGTTTTGTTTTGTTATACTAAGCAGTTCCTCACGGTATCCTTCATGAAATCCTTTGTGCTACTGCTGTCGAAGCTGTGAATCACATCTGTTGATGCTTTACTCTCCCAGAAAACATCTTTACTCTCAACAATTGCATGTTTCATTGAAATTTGAAGAATTCTACATCTCAGAGCACCGTATTTAGCATCTCAATAACATTTCCTTTGTTCAGTTATGTTTTCAATGATTGGATCTTTTTAATGTGTTTGCAATGTAGCATATGTTGCCATTACTTAATTTTGTCTTGAAATATTCATTTTTTAGCTCTTAGGGAAAGATACACTGAATAAAACATGTCGACTTGTTTTTCTCTTTTCGTTTTTTCATAAGTTGGAGAGCTGTAAAGATATTTAGTGGTTATAAATGAGAAACTAAAGGATTACTAGTAACACCCTGGTGTTCTCTGGAAAGAATAACGGTGCTTTCATAAGACCACAACTTGCGACCACAGATGGTTGTCATTGAAGGGTAATCTTAGGGGCTCAATTTTATAAGGACGCATGAAAAATGTGCAATAGAACTAACTTTCCTAAGCAATAGGATTCCACATTCTCAGGATATTTGAAAGCTAAATAGAATGAGCACCAAGAGCCCTTGGGGCTTTAAGTTTAAGATTTTCCTTTAAAAATAATGCTAGTATTCTCTGAGGATTTGAGAACAGTATTGCTTAATTTAGCCTAAGTCAGCCCAAAATAGGACAGAAGAAATAATTAAACTAGTGAACGTATAGTTTTCATCATTGTCCATGAATGCCAAAACTGATGTGTCTTTAAAATGCAAAATCACTGAACATGGAGAAAATATCTTTAAAGTGCTAACACCTCTCCTCATGTAGGGAGGCCCAGTAATCTCAATAATTACCTCCGAGTAAACTTCACAGTTGATGACTGCACTATTTACTAGCCTCACAACAAGCAAACATGGTATTTGTGAGCTGCACAGGAAGGAAGTTTACCAAAAGCAGCTATCAAGATCACCAATTATATTCCACCTCCCTGAAAAGCCTCCACATCCAGAGAGAATACAGAGTGGAAAATTTATCTCCCAATTTAGACATCTCTGCAGCCCCGGATGGAAATGGAGCTGGACCACAGTGCGATGAGCCCCTGAGCCCACAGCCCACGCGTCAGCCTGGGGCACGAGCCACTGGACCAGATTCAGCCTCCTCCTAGGAATATTTTTGTGTCAGAAATCAAAGCAGCCTTTGCTCGACCTGAGGCACAACAAAATGCTGACATGCTTACATGTTTTTTTCAGCAGTTCCAATTTTGAAGAAAAATTTTGGAAAAATGCCCCAATCTGAATAAGCATACCTGGTTATTTCAACAGCTGTTATGAGTAGAGTGAATAGCTGTTTGTTTGTGTTTCTTTTGGGGGGGGGGTTGTGGGGTACTGGGAATCACACTCAGGACTTTGCGCTTGCCAGGGCCACTGAGGTTTATCCACAGCCCTTGCTTATGTTTCTTAGAGCCCTCCTGACAGGAGGCAAAAGGGCCACACTTACCACCAAATCTCCCCCTAAATTCAAGTTATTGTGCTTTGCTTCAACCAAGAAAAAATAATAGCAATTGCTAACACTGGCAAGGGTAGTTAGAAACTAGGAAAAGTCTCTTTGAAGGAGATAAGGCAGTCAAAGGAAAAAAACCAGTCTTTATCATTAGTTTGGGAGGCTGAATTTCTAGATGAAGGTTCTGAGATCCCTAGTCCTTGCTTCTTGTATCACGTATTATACACTTGATGATACTAAGTTTTAAGCAGAAAGTATCTCGTCACTCTACTGAGTCACTGGCCCAGGCTAGCTCTGGCTTATGTTTTAGTGCATGATCCTCCAACATGGCTGGTCCGCTCAGTACTCAGAACTCAGTACTCCTGACACCCAAGGCATGACCAGGACAGTACCTTTCATGGCGGGTGGTGTGTACACGCTCTGTTTCCTCTGCTTGGGGGATGCGTTCTGCGGCTGTGGACAAAGGGAAAAGAGTGAAAGTGTTGGATGTGGGCCAAAGCTACGCTGCCACCCGACCTGGCGGGGAAATGACGCTGTGGTCTATTTCAAAGCACTTTCTCACACCTACATCAAGATAGGCTAGGAAGTCTATTGCATCGGTGTTCATCTACTTTGGTCTTTTTTTTTTTTTTTTTTTTTT